GTATGGATACCTTGCGGGCTTTGGTGCGGGGGGGAACTGAGCACTTATTGACCTGTCCGGTGTGCAATGACGTAGTTGCCCAGGACAGGTAATACGGGTAATAATTGTGGAATAACAGTGAAGACATGTACCTGTGCTATTACTATTATTATTATTATTATTGATATTATTACATTCCACAGGAGCCATTGCTAAGGCTCCTCTGAAGGTTAGTGGTGGCATTGCTTGTGGTGATCAGTACCATTTTCACATGGAGTCTCAAGCTTCTTTTTGCACGCCCTCTGACCTTGGAGGTATGAACGTCGTTGCTACTTCACAGTGGATTGATGGTGTGCTGGGCACCGTAGCACAAGTCTTGGGATTGCCAGAGTCTACGTGAGTTATGTGTGTTGTTGGCATTGCCTGATTGTGTTCTTGATGTGATCTTTTTGTACTGGTAGCATACTTTTTTGTGTTGTTAGTGCAATCCTTTTGCATTAGGGGCATAATCTTTTTGTGTTGTTGATGTTGTCTTGTTGGGTTATTGACAAAACTTTTAAAAATAATATAATGTTGTTGTGTTCTTGACTTAATTTTTTTACTTTGTTGACTCAATCTTTTCATGCTGTTCTTGTATCTAACTTAAATCTTTCCGATCAGTGTTTCCTCCTTTTGAACAAACATTTATTAGCTCACCTCATTTGGCTGTCATGGGTGCTTGGACGATGCTCCTTGAAGGTCCTACTTGATTACTCTCACTGTGATGCTTTTTTCGGTGTCTCGCGCTCCCTTTGCTCTGAATGACTGTTCTGTTGTCAGTGTTTTTCTCCACTGCTCAGAGTAAAACTTTGTCATACATCACTTTTCAAACTGGCGTATGGCGGAGTACTACACTAAGCAGTCATTCTGTTTTCCCCAAATCGTACACTTTTCCTCAGTGTGACAGTGGAGAACCAGCGCTTAGGCGGAGGCTTTGGAGGCAAGATCAGTCAGAACTTCTTGGTGTCGGGACTGGCGGCTTTGGCTTCTTATGTCACCCAGAGGTGAGTCACTTGGCCCAGAGGGTGGTTGACGGATGTGTTCTGGTGTAATTTCTTTTATCTCTTGTCTTTTTTTCTATTGTCCTATTCCATTTCATGGGTAGTGAGCAGGTGCTCTGGTGTTGTTTGCTCCTTCTATCCTATCAAACATCTACCATCTTTATCTTTATACCTCTCTCGTAGCAACCCCTCAAATCTTTGGCACTTACATGACTGATTTGTGTTGCAAGCGCTCTAAAATTCTTACTAAAACAAAAAGTATTCCATTTCAGGTGAAATATTGCCATTTTCATACTCATTTGTCATGACTTTATAACTCAACCCAACCAGCAATGCAATACCTCAAAATGTCTGTGTCTCAAGGTGGCACATAATAGTTTGCCTTTATTATAATCTAAGATATACACATATCAGAAGAGGCATTAAACAGTCACGCTATAAGACAGAAGAAACCCGTTTGACTAAAGTGAAACGGAGAACTTTGTTTGTCTGCACCAAGGTAGGGTACATGGTGACAGTAATGGAGATCATCATTGTCAGTGGCAGATTTAACTTCACTTCATCGTATGATAAGAAAAGCGTTTTAGTGAATTGAAAATGGGGAAACCGTGTGATATATAATAACATATTCCGCGGATAAACATTTTCTATGAAGACTAGAGAAGGTGTTTTACTTGAAACAGAAATATTTTGCTATTGGCAAGAGTTTTAAATCTTGTTTTACACGTTGATTTACATATCCTTTCAGGCCTGTGAAGCTGCATTTGGACATCCATACCAACATGAAAATGCTGGGGAAGCGTACACCATATTATGCCGAGTATGAGGTATGTGATGAGAAAAGGGTTACACTTTTTTTTAAATACTGACCTTTGTCCAGATCTTTATGGAGGGGTTGGGGGGGAGGGAGGGAGGAGAGAGAAGCTCCTCTGACATGATGGATTCTTTCTACTTCTTTTTAAGCTTCTTTACCCGAATCTGTTCCTTGTGATATGTGGTCGTTTTTGTGTTTAATTACTGTGAACTAACTCTCAACTAAACCAAACAGTTTGAGGTAGATTATCACAGAGGTAAGTAATAGTGACTAGTATTATTGCCACTGCCATCATCTTCATCCTCATCCTCATCCTCATCATTTTCACACCATCTCAGGCCATCATCACCATATTTTGTCAACATGTCTTTAACTACAATATATCTTGATTATTTTTTAATGCAAGTTTAGGTTCATGCTCAAGAAGTAAGAACAAGAAGCACGAAATTCATGATGTCTGCTAAGTAGAAAACTGTTTAAATGCATTGTATAAGAAAATTCAGTTTCATGATTATTTGAATTTTACTGTATCTGAAATCCAGTAGTATGTTGGAATTTTCTGAATCACAAAATTAGAAATGCCCCAAATTAAAATATCTGTAATCAATAAAGACAAAATGTAAGTACGATATCTTATTACACAATATAGAATAACCTAAGAATTTTTTATAGCATTTTCATAATTACTTTTGGTTAGATTGAGAACTTTACCATGCTTATATTTAACTTTCAAAAAAGTTTAGCAAATCAAATATTAAAAAGGAAATACTACTGCTAAAGGACCTGTGGAACCGTAACCCAGTGGACCTGTGGCCGTGCCTAAGCATGCAGTAATGTCTACTTACCAGTTTAGATGCTCAGGTCCAGTTGGCTTGGGGGAGGGCTGGTAGTGGTTCAAAGGGTTGATACGGATGGTGGGTTTTTTGTCGTAAAGCTCAATCCTGTACTGCCAATATTGTACTGATATTTTTTTTTACTTTTGATGGTTTTTGTTGACACTAGTCTTAAAATGATTTTGGCCTCATTCATTACTAATGTAAGATGGATGATGGAAGATTCTAGCAACTTCTTTGAAGCTACTTTTATGCAATTAAGCCCAGTTAGGATATACTTTTCAGCCAAAAATCTTTTATAAGGATGTTAAGAAGGATAAAATCAATAATGTCATTTAATAACTTACGAAGACATTTCAAGGGGGTTTTTTCTCCCAGATTTAATCCTAATTTTTACATCCCGTTATCCAAAAAGTAATCTTTATACTTGTGAAGACGTTTCCATACATTTTTCCCTCGTTATTTGAATCACTATTTTGGGTACAAGCTTTGTAGTTTTCATAATGGTTATTTTCTTGACAGGTCTGCTTTTCTCCAATGGGGGTCAATTAATATCCTACCTAATATCACATTCATGACACATTATCGAAAACAAATCCCACCCCTCTTTATTCCTTTCTCATGTTTGTGCCTTTTTCTCTTAAATCATAAAGCATCCTGCAGAATGTTGCTAATGATTCTTGAAACTTAATGAAAGACAACATCTTTTCCCATGGATTCATAATTTTTAGAAAAAGCTTAGTCAAAGATTGAAACAGCCAGCAAATTGTTGATAGTCCTGCCTTTGTTAAGGTATTTTCAGTACAATACGAATTTTGATTGGGTCAGCTTAAAAGCTAAATTATTTTCAAAAGATTTATCTTGTCCATATTTTTACCTTTTTGGTAGCCTTTCCACTTCAGCAATTCTAGGTACAAGGTATTGAAATAAAGCTGGTGTTTGAGAGTGGCACATCTTTGATGGTGTACTGACCTTTATTTTATTTTAAACAGCAGTGACTGCCTCAGGATGTAGACAATAAGAGAATAGAAGACTTATGTGTTTTTCTTTTCATGCTTTTCCGTCCTTTCCCATCCTTCTTTCATTTCTTATATTGGTGTGTGTGTTTGTGAAGGGGCATGTTGTTCTATTTGATTTGCTTGGTCTTTGTTTCTTAAATGATAGTTATGGTTGATGTAGGAAGATGAGGAGAAAACAACTTGTTTGTGGAAATAAAAAAATTATAGGACGACAGATTTGCTTTGTGAGCTCATAATCTATCTGTTGGAGGGACTTTGTCATGCAACATCGTCCAAGACACACTGCTGTAAGGACAAACAAATCTGTATTCATTCTGGCTCAGTTATTGCCTGGAGTAGGCTACCAAAAACGAAGCAGCCCAATTATGAACTGAAAGCAAGGTTTACGGCTCATTTCTGTTGCATGCAGAGGACGAGTTGGATTTCTATGTGGGAAAATTGTGTTGCAGAGTATCTACGAGTACAACTGCCTGCTGCTTTGGGTACCATTCATTCAGTTTTGCCCTTAACTGGCAACGCTAAAGCAGCCGGCCTCTTATATGATTTGAATTGTGCCATTGGCATTCAAATATTTACAAATGAAAAATGTGAGTTTTGCTGATGAGGTCTGCAACATGGCAGAACAAATACAATGAGCTAGTTGACTTTCGTTACAACAACCACCTATAGAAAAGACCAAATTGATGATGAACAGCACCAATGGTTACAGCTCTGACTCTGACGTAAATGTGAACTCTGAGAAATGTGAGGCTGTCCACAATAGCGCCGTTTTGTCAGCTGAACAATCTGAAGTACTCTCTCGGATGACCCAAATCTTTGTTGCAACGACAGAAGTGGAGATCATCTGGAAAGAGAAGACCATTGCCAGATTTCAAAGATCAGACTGATGTGTTTCCTGGTCATGTTAGTATTACTACATATATGATGCGAGTCATGAGAATTGATAGCAATATTATGAGAAGGATACAGGCTGTGGCGATGAAACATTTTTAAAAATATCCCTGGCATCCTTTACAGAGATCGTATTACTTTTGTAGGAGGTCCTGCTATATATCTGGAAAAGACAGAATTTAATATGATGCAAGCACAGGATACAAACATCAAAACTGGCAAAGACTTTCTTGCAAGGTACAGCCCTAGGAGCAAGTTTTCAAAGAAAGACAGAGGAAGGAGATGAAAAGACAAAATTAAAAAATGGACTATTCTTGAGCTGAATGACACTTTTGAAAGCCAAATTGGTGAGGCATGGAAGAAGCTGGTCTCAAAATATTCAGCGAAGCCATACTACAGGATAGTGGAAGAGGAAAGTGAGTATTTTTTGTTGCGACTTCAACATGATGTCATGCCTTTGCTGTCTTTTTTGGCATATGCTTTTGTCCCTGACATAATTACTTGTCTCTTTTACATCATGTTATAGAAAGTATGACAACTTCATTTAAAACGGAATGACCTTTGAATCCACTTTTTCCAAATGTTTTTATCAGTACTCTCTTTTTTATTGTAACCTCCATGTGAATGATTAGACCAAAGTCATGTATTCTCATTTAAAGACAAATTAAATACTCCCCTCCCCTCTACTTTTCCTACCACATTCTTCATCTGTCCATACCCCGTTGTTGCCTGGTTTGGTTGCTCCAGGTTGGGTATGATCATGCTGGCAAACTGGCTGGCGTTGACATATCCGTGTATGGAGATTTGGGGTGGAATTTGTCAGTAGCCGAAACTCCTATGGCCTACATGAAGTACTGGTTGGACAATGGTAATAAGGATACATTATTTTTCTCAGGCTTTTGCTGGCATCCTCACCGTTGCTTTCTTCCTGTATATTGTATCTGTAATATTAAAAATGAGCAGTTTTTTCAAAATGATAATCCATGTGTTAAATTGGTTTACATTGGTATACTTGTCATATGGAAATGTTTTCAGCATATGTTATAACTCAGTACTAATTGAACTTTGCTTGCCCTTTTCTCATGTTTTTTTTTGTTTCTTGTGGATCCTATTTCTAATTTCAAGATTTCTTTAAAGTATCTCTGCAAAAATGTGGATGTCAATAGTTAAATTAAATAAATTCACAGCATCCAAAGTTAAAAATATAAAACTAATTTTGATTGTTTTGTACTTTTTGCACTAATCTACTTCTAATTAACTTAGATTAATGTTGTTTGTTAATGTTTTAAGACTGAGATGATAGCATTATATTTTGTATCTGCATTCCTGCTTCCCCATTTGACTTGTGAGATTTTGTCACTTGCATGTGTAAAAAGTTCTGTTGCTATCTTTTATTTGTGATACTAAATTGTTAAGTAGTAGGCCTACCTGCAGCTGCAGCAGGTGCATTTTCCATTAGATCTGACATTTTCCCTGATTCTCTCTACTGGCTGTAAAATAATAGTTTCCCCTTGATGACATAACCAACCACGTGTAATCGTGCTTGCTTCTCTGGGGCTCAGAATAAATGTTTCATCTTCCAGTCAGTTTTGGAACAGGTTTTTGGCAGTGGCTGTCTTTCATTGTCATCGTCATCATCACCATTATCGGCATTTTAATCACCTCACCTCTATCCCCTTCCTCCACTGCGCTTTGTTGTCATCATTCTCAAATGTGATTGATACCATCCTCTTTCCTTCACTCTCCCACATAGTCACACACTCTGAGATGTTTATGAGACTTGACGGGTGTTTTGCTGTGGTTTGCTCTTTCTTTTCTATCAAACATCTATTGTTCTTATCTCTCCTCATTTTTTTGTTTGTTACTCTTTTGTAACTCTTCTAATCTCTGGCTCTTATGTGACCTTATTGTGTTGCAAGTGCTGTAAAACTCTAACTAAAACTAAATCATCTTCACACACACACACACACACACACACATACACACACACACACACACACACACATACTCACACACACACACACACACACACACACACTCTCACTCCCTCTCCACTACATCTTATTGTCGTTATTCTCAAACTGTAGTGCCATATTGATTGATACCATCATCTTCCCAACATGTTCTCTCATAATCAAACACACTGAGATGTTTATCAGACGTACGTTGCTGCCTCCTCCTTTTGGCTTTTGTAACAAAATTTCTTTTGTCCTTTGCATTTCCCTGGATGTTGCCTGGAACACTGTAAAAATCCGTACCTACACTCTGCCTGCAGGGTGTGAGTTTAACGCCCCTTTTAACCCTTAAAGGTTATGAGATGGATGAAACTTCGAGTTTAATATCTTTCTCGGAAAGGACCTCGTCAAGTAGGCTGAGACCCTTGGAAACTCCACTGACAACACAAATTTGAAATTGCATTATATTGGAGATTTGAACCAGAATCATCCGCACTGTCGCTCAGCCTAATACTTACTGAGCTAATTCCAATTACTTGCTCTCTGCTATGATTGTTCAACGTCTAGCAAACTGTGCTCTTTGATGCATTGATTCATGTGCTTGTGGGTTGTTGTTATTTTCCCTTTGCCTGGCCCAGCTTCTGCTCAAGACCCTGAATATATATTATATATACGCTCAGGTGCGCACACACGCGTATTAACACATACACAAAAATGCACGCACACATAAATATACATACATAAGCACACCACATGCACTCACATAGACACATACAAACTCGCTTATACGCGCACGCACGCACACACATGTACACACACATATACATGCACACACCCACGCGCACTTACACACTCACTCTTGTGCTCTATTTTTATGTCTAATACACAAACACACACACTCACACACACACACACACACACACACACACAGACACACATGCACACATACATGTGCACACTCCCACACACACACACACTCATACACACACTCACACATACACACACACTCACACATACACACACACTCACACATACACACACACTCACACATACACACACACACGCACTCATACTAACAGGCACTAAGGCCTAACCTGTTTTTAACCTTCGACTTTTCTGCCTCAGGTGGGCTTCACCAGTACAGGTCGCCTGCAGGGTATAGTTCAGAAGTTATATGCCGATGTCGGCCATGACACCATCGAGGGAAACGGGGCGGATGCCAGTGTCTGGATTGACAATGGTTGTTATTTACTTTTCCACTTACTTGTCACGTTACACCTCCCGAGCACTGAAATCATAATCTTTTTTTTTCACAGTATTCTGTAAGCTCCTATCCCTGAAAGAAAGTGGCTGTCTGTATTGGCCATAATCTTCTTGAGGAAAAAAGGCTGATGCCATTGTCTTGGCTGCCTCATAGACACAAAAGGCCTAACCTGTTTTTTACCTTTGACCTTTCTGCATCAGGTGGGCTTTACCAGTACAGGTCGTCTGCTGGGTATAATTCAGAAGCTTTATGCTGATGTTGGTCACAACACCATCGAAGGAAATGGGGCCGGCGCCACGGTTTGGATGGACAACGGTTGATACTTACATCTACCCTTTCTTTTCATTTTTTGCCCTCACATGACGTGAAAGTAATTTTTTTTTAATCATTTTTTGCTAGCACCCATCCCTAAAAGTGGCTAGTTGTAAGGGTCCCAGAAACCGTCCTCTTAGAAAAATCTTCTTACGTCTTAAGAAAAAGAAACTGGTGCCATTGTCTCAGCTGACTTTTGTTTATGGTTGCAATTGTAATATCAGAAATCAGAAGCTTTTCTATACACGGCTAATCTTCCAAGTAAATTGATGACATGGTAAACTAGAAGAAAAAGCTTCCCAAATGTCGAATTTTGAACACACTTTCAACTTCACATTAAATTAATCCATATCAACAATAGCTTAGTTTTCTTTTATTGAGCAGCCAAACATCATCTTGGAATGAAGATGTCAAGTGTCAGAAACTAGTTTTTGTTGTTTGGGTTGTTGGGGTTTTTTTTAGAGTCTGTAAGTTTCATGCTCTCTAGGCTTTGCTATAAATTGTGACACGTGTAGAGCATACTTTCAAGTTTGGACGTGGGCTATGAGAATGCCAACTATTGGGTTGTCTTTTTTTCAAGCCAGGTATGATTTTGAAGAATAAGTCCCTCTTTAGTCATTTCTTTCTTTAACACCCACCCCTTGTCTGTCGGCTTTCCCACCTATTGTTGTTGTTTTTTTCTCCTTTTTATGCTGTATATTGTTGTCACTGTAGTTGTAGTTCAAAAGTGATGTTGAATGTGCACTTTATTGAAAAATTATTTCACGTAGGTGCCATGGTGTCCTTTGAAATTTACAATTTGCTGTGTACTCTTCAATTGGAAGATTTAAAATCACAGAGTTTTCAGTAATTGTTTTGTGTTGAGTAACGAATTACATTTTAAAATTTGAGATAAACTTTTCCACTCAAAATAAACTGGCATCTGTGGTGTAGCAATTAGGTGTTACACCATCATATGCAGAAGACATGAGTTCAATTTCCTTGTAGGGAAGATTTTTCTTGAATATTGATCTTTCTGCTGGGATGTTGAATCTCCGAGGCAGTGTTCCTCCATTATATATCGAAATTGCTTTGTTGGGGACATAAAAACACCTACTTTTAAAAAAGATTCTCAAGGTGAAGTCTGAATTAAGACAAGTCTTTTTTAAATTTTGAATTATTAAACGATGACAGGGTGATCCAAAAAAAAACTACAACTTTTTTTGTTAATATTTTTCTCCACACTGAAGTTTTGCGTTTCAAATATGTACACAAGATTTGGAAGTCAAAAGGAATTTCTCCAGTCTGTGGGAGAGCCACTGGGAAAACCAGAAAAATAATAAACTATATGAAATAAAACCCAAGCTAGAACAGCAAAATCCTTCGGACCTCTCCAGAAGAGACGAAGTCATTTTTACTCGATTGAGCATCGGACACACGGCCCTGACCCACAAATACCTCCTACAGGGAGATGAGAAGCCGTTCTGTGTCGGATGCGACACAGATTTTACCATTAGACACATTTTAACAGACTAGACTTTGGAGAGATCCGAAGGAAATATTATAAATGCAAAAAATTGCAGGATATTTTTTCCGTCGTTGTTCCCAGCAGAATTTTAAATTTTATAAAGGCCATTGGCCTTTATGGCGAGTTGTAGAGTGAATTTGATATTATTTAAAATTTTTATTGTTACTTAAAAGAGTTGTTTTAAACCACAAATGTATTTACACCGAATTTAAATATTTTAACTTTTTAGCATTTTAAAGTAAATTAGTTAACCAGTCGTGAAGTGAACTTTTGCAAAGGTGAACAACTTGTGTTTCGCGCGCTCATATGACCTTAGCAGTTGCGAGCGCCGTAAAACCTTATACTATACATACATACAAAAGGAATTTGTCTGGTATTCATTTTAGATAAATCCACTGAATAGTTTTGCTTCACATAGCGTGTAAAGAAACAACCCATTTTCAGTTCTATCCCCATTTTTGTAGCATGACGCACTAGTTCGCATTAGGCCTAGATCTACCACTAAAAATCCCAACGATCGCACCATGTTGCAAACTACAGTAGTCTAACATGCCAACAGAAGCATTCAGATAGTTTTCTCAAGTTTCCTTTGCCTGCTGAGAGCATGGTTAAGATTATTAAACCAACTCTTTTCGTAAGTTTCGCACAAAGTACCGAAATAATGTTAAAGTGCCCTGAGGACTTGTTTGATGTCAAAGGTGGAAATGGTCCATCAGTTAGGGCCTGTAGAGAATCAAAACTTAAAATTCCCAGACTAAACGACTATTTCAGGTCAAACACACAACGTCCGCACCCCTTTAAATGTCACCATGGTGCAGAATTCAATAGATGAGCCCAATGAGACGTCTGTACGTAGACGATGTCTGCTGCAATGACCTTCCTACATCTCAACGGTCCGCATTCTCAAGGCGGATCTTCATCTGCGACTATACCATTTTCCCGTTCGCGAAGCTATCAAAGGATAGCAATGTGTTCATGATTCCTCGATCGTCTTGAAAAGCGTGAACACTTCCTCTATGACATTTGATTCCTTGGCAAAGCCCATATTCGCCTTTCAGGTTATATCAACTTCACAAATGCCGTCTATTTGGGCAACCTCACCCCCCCTCCCCTCTTATTGTCTCTAGAAACAGCTCCATACTGTAAGATGTACAGTGTGTGAGGCTTTGAGTACTCATGGTTGAGTGGATCCTTGTGTTTGGTCAACACTGAACATTATGCGACGCGTTGAAATAAGTTGAGTCCAAAGGAGGACATATAGACCATTGGTTCTTGGAATTCTGAAATTTTAAAATTATTTTTAAACTCTGTAGGAGGAAAGAAATATTGTTTAAAGGTTACTATAATGGAAAGATTAGGTTTTTAAAAAGGAAAGGAAAGGAAAAAAAACAAACCAATCATTTCATGACTTTCCTTACAAGATCTTTTAAATTGGTGCCTTTTGCATTTATAATTTATAGGTGGTTTTGCATTTATAATTTATAGGTGGTTTTTATAAAACTCATTTATGTTTTCGAAAATAAGTTTCTACTTTGTGAGTTTTATATCAAACAAATTCTTTTTGAATGAATGATTTCTGTTCCAAATTACAACATTTGTAGTTGAAATTTTGTGTGAGATATCTAGAAAAAAAGTTGTACAGTTGTTTTTATTGATCACCCTGTACTTTGGGCTGGGCCGAAAAATGACATTAGCTTGATCTCAAATTGAGCAAACACCGTTGCCTATTTCATACTAGTGTATATATATTGTTTTGCTGATTTTCAGTTTCTACCTTTTTAAATTTTATTACAGTTTTGCTTGTCTATTTGCCTAAGTAAATCCTATACTTTTTCTAAGTTTTATTGTTTTCCACACATCTTTTCATTTCTTTTTTTTTGCTTGTTACTTTCAAGTTTGCGACTGATAAGAATTTTCTGTATTCTTGTTCTTTCCGTATTTCTTTTTTGTGTTTATGCTAAAAAGTCTCTTTTTTTTTGGTGAAATCCAGGCCTCTTGGAAACCTATCTGTTGCTACTTCTGTTCTTTCAATAGTACCAGAATTCAGTATTTTTATAGCTTTTATTTGTAACCTGTAAATGAAAGCGTTTAGTCATTTTAAGCATTGGCAATTTTGATGTAAAAGTTTGTGCTGGGGTGTATTTTGTTATATATTACTTTTAGCAGAAACTCGACAGATCGGTTTGTGATTTGGGCTTTTAAATTAAGCTTCCTGCATATTTTGTCAAATTTGCTTGAATAGTCTGATTCATTTGTGAGGAAAGTCTATTGTGCTAGTTTCTATTGTTTAAGAAACCAAAATTTTCTAAATGAAATTAGACTGAATATTGAAAGTTACATAAAAGGCAGTAACACTATTGTTTTGTCAAACAGAATTTTTTTTAGATCAAAAGAAATACTTACTGAATCCGAAAAAATATCCCGCTTTACCTCATCTTTGTCCTTTTTAAAAATAATTTGCTTCTTTGACCAGCATATTACTGCTCTAACTGGCTATGAAGTAATAGTTTATTTTATAAATGACAAGTATATTAATATACTTCTTTAACTGACTGTGAAGTGACAATTTATGTTATCGCATGACAAGTGTATTGCTGCTCTAACTGATTGTGAAATAATATTAATATTATCATACGATATATGCATATTACACGGCGCACCGGCAGTGGAATTTTAGTTGCCACGGGGGGTTCTCCGCCGGGCGCTTTATCACGTCAGGGTCACGGGGGTCAGCTCCCTGTTGCCGCTCTGTCTGGGCCGACTTAATTTTGGGTACTTTTCAACGTACAATTTAAGGTGTATCCTTGTATTTATGGTAATTCTCATTAGTGCACCCAAAGCACGCATTTCTGCTCTTGAGACTGAAAAAAGAACGGACGTTGTAACTTGTCTGGTTATTTCGGTAGACGTGCTGGAGTCGGCAATGCTAAATTTTATTTTTTTTGGACTAGCGTGAATGAAAAAAAATCAATATAAAAAGAAGGCCTCGTCAAAATCTGTCGAACTTTTGGAACATGAACAACATAGTATTGGTGCAGATACTCAGAAAAGATGGTATCTGCGCATATAATAGAAAGCTGTAATTTTGCAACTTTATCCATCGGGCACACAATTCACTATGAAGTAATTCCTACAAATACAACTTTAGGTGTCTAATACTAATATAATTGTGAATATTCGCATATTTTCTCGAAAGTTTATAAAAGTTACCTTGAAGTTTCTCTATGATAAGTACAAATCGATTTTAGTGCTAAAATACATCTTCAACGTAGATCTAATACACGAACAGTATCTGTTACACTCCAGAAATTCCTTACTTTTCTTAAAACGCTAAGTCTAGGTTTTGTAAGTTGACTGAATAATGGGGATGACTTCTCGTAATAGGGTTGTAAGAATAATTTCTAGCTTTCCAGGGACACTGAATCAGCACCAGACTTTTACAGCTTTATTTTTCGTTTCTATGACCATTTGTAATAACTGACAATGTGACTGATTTCTTTACATTCATAATTGTGTCCGCGCATATTTCCGACACAAAAACTAAGAATGAATGTGTTAGCTAAGTCATTATTTTTATTCCATACAAGAAGTTTATCTCTACCCATGTATTTACACGGTTTTGTGTTTTTTTTAATCGCTTAGATCTATATTATATCTTTTTAGTTGTATGCGGGCTGCCACAGACACAGCATGATTCATGAACAAACGCAGAGTAACTTTCTCTTGTTCAATAGTAAAATAAGAGCTAATGCTGATCGTCTTTAGTTAAAAAATGTTGACGTGCATCTTTCTTATCTTATAACTTGACTATTACTACTGGCGCAGATTTAAGATTTTTCATGGTAAAAGACATGATATTCGTAGTCAGTTTAACACAGATTTTGGAGAGATCTGTCGTGCCTTTTTTAAATTAACAATCATTTATTCGTAAGTATGACTGTATGTAACTAAAATGGGACAAATTGGGTACTCTACAAACACTTGTCTAGAACAAAAACTAAGGCACAGAAATTAACCATTCTAACGCAGAATAAATCTCAAGACATTGAGCTTTTAGTACATCCGCGTAATGTTTGCTATGTGGGATGGGGAAGAAGTTATATCGTTTTCAACATAGTCAAAAATGCGAACTTCCTAACCGACACCGGCTAAGTCGCTTCAGGGCTCATTAACCCCGTGACCCCGAGACGGGGAGCTCCGGCGGGCTGCTGAGTCACGCTAACTAAAAGTAACAGAATCGGGCGAAAAGTGACGCCGTGATTAATATTACTACTTTTAGTGGTTTTGAAATTACAATTGTCTTATTCTATGATTAGCTTAATACTACCATAATTGGATTTGAAGTAATAGTTTTATCTTATCCTCCGACCCCTTGATTACTGCTGCATCTGGCTCTGAAGTAATAGTTCATCTTTTCCTCTGTCCAGCATACTACTGCCCTAACTGGCTGTGGACTCCCATCGCAGTGAAGACGGACAAGCCAATGAACACAGCATGCCGGTCCCCAGGTCTGTTTGATTTGTAATGGCAGTGTGGACCCTACCTCTAGCCTTGAGCAGAGAAGAAATTCTTTTGAGGGGCATTAGTTGACCTGAAGAATCTATTTTTTTAATGCAATTTTTGTTGTTGTTTTGCTCAGAACCTGGGCTTAAAGTGGGCACACGATCCCCAAGATTACACTATGATAAGGCTTTGGTTGCCATAGAAACACAATCATCTTGATTTTAAGTTTAAGAATAGCACAAGTAGAACAGTTCATATTTACTGCTTTGTGCAAGACCCTGCAATACAGCATTTTGAAAAGTGATATATGAAACAATATGTGTTACATAGTCAAGACAAGGATTTTGGAAAGGGTTTTTTTTTTCAAATTTTCAGGTACATTTGGTAAATGCAATTTTATTTTATTATGGCAAAATTCAAAGATTTGATTTGGTATAACAGAACAGACTAGGTGTCTGAAAAAGACCTCTGCCACAGCAGTCGGTGAAATATCCCAGATTCCTAGCCCCTGCCACACCTCTACCCCACTCCACCTCCACCCCTTTTGTCATCTCAAGAATAAAATCTGTAAAAGTTTGAATGTATCTTAATCTTACCTTTTTTCTACATATTTCCAGGTTCTGTGCCAGCTATTTTCATCATGGAATCCATAATGGAACATGTGGCCAAAGCACTGAACAAAGATCCACTGGATGTCCGCAAAGAGAACCTTTATGTCAAAGGCCAGGTGAGAGTGTTGGGGGTTTGAAGAGGCAGAGCTGGAGTGACGGGTTATTCATAGTAATTAAATCTGGGGTTCACTACTCAGGATATATTGACCTCAAAGGGTGATTTTTCACATATACAGTGGATTAATCTATTTGCTCTTATGTCTCATTGAGATTTTATACAGGGGTGGGGGGTTAATGAAAGTAAATCAAAAGCGGAATATGAATTTCCCTCTTTTCAGCCAGATGTGAATGGGCCGAACTTTACCAACTTGCCAAAACATAATTTGTTCCATTCCCTTGGAATATTCTTTATATATACCAAATCACCAAGAGGTCTTAAATGAAAGTGTGTGAAATTGTATTGATTTAACTTCCCTTGCAACATTGTAAAGTTATTTAAGAAGCAGGACTTCTGAATTTAACATCCATCACCTATAGAACCGAACCAAAAGGAAAATTTGTGTAAAGTATCTTTCCCAAGAACTCAATGTCAAACCGAGCTGAGCTTCAAACATCTGAATCCACAACCTCAACGATTATGAGTCCAGTAGCCTAACCCTTAGACTACCTATGAATTGCATTTTGCCCTATTTTTTTTAGAGCGCTCTGTTGCTGTTTGGTAATTTACAAATTGGGAGTTAAGCTATTGTAAATTTGTTTGAGTCTTTTTTAATGGGATACACGAGTATTAATAAATCTACAGTCACACGAGTATTAATAAATCTACAGTCAAACCTGCTCTAATGGCCATTTTTCTAGTACAATCACCTGTATAAACAACCACTTCCCACTACCCTACTTACATTTTTGCTTTATTATAATTAGACTGTCTAAGACAACCATCTATCTGGGATGTCCACTTTTCTCCTCGACAATGGGTGGTTGTCAAGGACAAATTTGACTGTATTTTAAGTTACAAAAGCATTGCATGTCATTATAGTCACAATTTCCAGATGGAGATAAACAAAGCACTCTTTTCTTTTCTTTTCTTCCTATATTTTCATATTCTTTTTTGAAAATCCCTGCAGCATTCGCCATCGGGTATGGTCTTAGAGTACTGCACGATCCGGGCCGTTGTCGCTCAGCTGGAGACTGACATCAAACTGGCAGAGCGGAAGCAACAGGTGGAAGCTTTCAACAAGGTGGGTCCAAAGGAAATCTCTTCACTTAACTCACTTCAGACGGTTCACACAACAGTTGCGTAACCCCCGCCACGACGCTCGTGACGGCTCCCACGAGCCCTGCGTGACCAACTTTGGATTTTTTTTTTCGCTCTACAAATCACGCACGGATCGCGGGACCCGCCTCGTACCCTTGTTTGGCCAAGCTTGAGCTACTTAGACTTCGTTTCGTATCTCTGGGACCCGTAGTTTTTAAGTTATTGAAGGTGAAGGACAGTGACCCCAACCTGGGTTGAACTAACCGGAACTCGCGCTTTGTTTTTTTTCTATACAGCTGATAGTAATCCGACAGTCGCGTCGTAGTAACGGTCGAAGAAGTCGCATGAACAAGAATCACATAATTTCGCCGTTTTCGATACTTCTGTATGTTTTACTAGTTCTAGTGTCTCAGAATATGATGTGTCTGATAGTTAGGATCCTGGATATGTACCCGAACACGGCCCGAGTCGTAGCTTTAGGGCTAGATCTAGCACTAGTACTGGTGTTGTTCGCGCAACGAAATCACAACGTCGTGCCGTACATCTGTCTCATGCATGGGTCTGAATCAACGCACAGACCAGCTTTTATACTTGCACCAAACACTCACACATGCGTACAAATCAAGATACAACACTTTGAACTTTTATTTTTGTTGTTGTTGTGAATTTCATCCTACCTGTCATGTCTGTGGAAATTTTTCGGAAAATCAAATTCATGCCAATTTTTTTTAAAATCATATAAATTAAAGTATTAGACTTAGACAACTTTAGTTTTTTGTGTTAGAGTAAGCTTGAATGTTACTTTACTGTGTCAAAAATAATTACAATAGAGTAATTCTGAGAGTTGTGGTGACTTATTGAAATACTCCGAAAAACGCCAGTCTTCAACGCTTGTGACTGGTGAAAGGGCCCAGTGTGAAGTGAGTTAATAGTCACTTATTCTTTTTTTTTTTTTTTTACAGTTTTAGTTGGATTAGTCAGTTTTGGTATATTTTTTGTGCTGTAGTGGTCGCATATAAACCTTGTTGTTGTACTTTCTCTTTCTCTGACAAATCTTGTACATGGGTAGTTGATAGACACTCACTTGTGGTTTTCTCCTTTTTTCCCATCAAGCATCTATCGTCGTCATCCCTCTTCCTTCTTTTCTTTGTATAATAACTCTCTAGTAAAACCACTAACTCTAACATTGGTGCTTATATTATCACCTATTTGTGTTTTCAAAATCTGTAAATCTTTTACTAGAAATAAAACTAAACTGTGTCTTGTTCCTCTTTGAGTCAGGCCAACAGATGGAAGAAGCGTGGCCTATCCGTGATGCCCAACAGGTTTGCCATTAGTTGGAGCGGGGCCATGTACAACACATCAGTGATCATCTACCACGGCGATGGAAGTGTGGCCATTGCTCATGGAGGAATCGACATGGGGCAAGGGATCAATACAAAGGTGTGTGGAAGACACTGATTGGTTGATTGGTTTTTTATGTTAATTTCATACAATATAGAAAAGAGGACGGAAAGTAGCGTCTTGTTAAACGAAGACCGTGGTAATAGGATATGAGACTTGTACTTTCATTAAGCACTAAGTGTAAGTGTAAGCTCGTTACAAACGGTCAAAAGAGAGAGGGAGGGAGAAAGGAAAGAGAGTAATGTGATGGGTTAGGGGCCAGTAAAAAGGTACTAGAAAAGAGAGAGAGAAAAAAGGGAGAGGTACACTCAGGTTGGGAAAGGATGAGAGGCTGATACAGCAATGTTTTATGTGAGTTATAAAGTGCTAAATGCAGAGGTATATGTCCGGTTGTGCATTTTAAGTTCATTTACAAACTTAGGCCTTTTTTCTAAGGGCTATAACTTCACACTCCTGTGATTCAGTAGACAGGGAGCTGGTACATGGATTGTTTTAGTTTTTGAACATTGTCAAATAATCTTTGGCTTTCATAAACTTCTTGGGGGGGGTTTTTGGGGGGTTTTTTCCTTCATAAGTTTCAATGAAATGAAATATTGTAATTTTCCTTTAAAATGTAGCATTTTAATCAAAGTAAGAGTTTTGTACATTATCTTTGAGAAACTATTATAGTTTATTATAGTTTATAAATTAAAGCAAAACAATGTAGCCATATTAGTTTTTAAAGAAAATTGCTACAGACATAAATCTTTCGAATACTTAAAAGCATTGTGCATCCTGTGTGTCTGTTTTGTGTATAGTGTTTTGCATTTATAAGGAAAAACAAATGAAAGAAGGGATAAATTATTGATGTTGTGCTACAGTAACAAATACAACAGCTTCATATTCTCCTTTTTGTTCTGATGTGTCAGGTCTGGCAATAATGAACTGTGGCCTTTCTATTATTCTTGCAAGATTACTTCATTGTTCTTACTGGCTAGGCACACCTTCAGCTAAGTGGCTGTCATACTGGGTTATGTTGTAGATGACCCTGGTTCAGTTACTCAATGGGGTATATTTAATTTAAACTTAGGGTTTTTGTTTGTGAGTTTTCTAGACTCTCTTACAACTTGGCTCTGTCCTTATATAGTTGGACATTAAATTTGGAGGTCCTGTCTCTTAAATAACTTCACGGTGCTAAAAGGGTGATTATCTCTCATCCCGCCAATGTCTCATTGTCTCCAACAGGTGACCCAGGTGTGCGCCTACAAGCTGGGCATCCCCATGGACAAGATTCGTGTGAAAACATCCTCGACCACCATCAATGGCAACTCGATCACCACTGGGGGGTCCATCACATCTGAACTGGCTTGCAAAGTGAGGCTGGTTTTAGCTTTTGGTGTTTTCTTGTATTATCAAGGTTGATTGTTTAAGATTAATTGATACCCCAAGTACGCCTTACCCATTTTCGAGCTGGGTGGGGGGCCTTATGTTTTCTCCTTGCTGTCGTGGTTATGTTATGTGTAGTTGACAAGTCAGTTTTGTTTTATCTCTGTCTTTAAAGAAATATTCTAAGTTACGAAAAGTGCTTTCTGCTATTATGTGAATGGAATTTAAGAAAAAACAAAAATGCCTTGGTCTCCTGAATGAAAAGTTCATAAGCAGTGATTTGCAATGTCATTTACTGACTTCACCCTTTATCATAGACTAAAAACACTGTTTAGAGAAAAAATTTCAGTAGATTTTGTTTTTAGCTTGATGGCATGTGTACTTTCTTAACCCTATCCGTACGTTGTGTTATACTATCGTATCCATACAACGTGGAGAACTCTGTGCCACCATTCACTTTCCAAAGAGGAAATTTACTCGTTAATCCGGTCCGTACGCTTTGTATAGCAGTCTGTCAAAATGACTTTTTGAGAAATACTGAAAGTTTCAGAGATCTTCGTACTAGAAGTATTTTATAATTTGAAGAATACAACCCCGGGGGTAAAAATAACCCCAGGGCATATGGATAGGGTTAATGGTCAGCAGTTCATGAACTTTGTTGTTAAACATTTTTTGAGCACATAAGAAGCCAAGCCCAGATTTCTGTTATTCACATTTTTAATGTCCGCCAGAAGCGATTTGTTAGGGTCTGAGGTCTGGTTTAGTATTTAATTGCATTAATTCTTATTTTTTTATGTTTCACTCTGCTCTCCTAGCCAGCCCTTTTCCTACAACAACCCTCTTATGGAGTATATTATGTGTATACAGTTATTGTAATCTTTGTGAATGATGGATAGATGCCCTTGTTTGGTCTGTTCTTTTGTCTTGTGATCTTTGTTTTTACTGTGTTTTAGTGCTGCCTGGCAAAATGTGACATACTTCATTTCTTTCCCTCTGCTGTTTGTGTTTGTCTGTCTTGCTTCTTTCCTGCACTTTATGACACTGTTGCATCGATATGCTCCTCTTTACTTATACAAACAAACAAAATGGGATCTTTATCTTGCTGTTTCTCTTGAAACTTCAACACTTAAATAACCTTTCCCAGAGTGTGATTGAGTGTTGTGCCATTCTCAAAGCACGTATGGCTCCGGTCAAAGCCAAGATGGTTGACCCATCATGGGAGAAGCTGGTGGCTCAATGTTATGCTGACATGATCGACCTAACTGCCTCCTACATGTAAGTGTTTGCCCTCTTCCCACCACTCTATGATATTGACAGTACATAGACTTTGTGTAGCGTAGATTTCCACTCAGCTGCAAGCTCTATACACTTTACAATCTATATTATTACAACAGCAGGTGTGATAACACTCAGAAACAATCTCAGCTTCCTGGAAAGTACACGGTGCCTCCTACATGAAAGTCTTTGCAATAAAACAGATAATTGACAGGCTCTTTATTCTGAACTATTCCTTCTGACAAGTTCTGTTTTTTTATTGGGTTTTATTTACCAAATAGCATAATGCTTGCTTCTCGCTGAGGTTAACTATAACACAACCTTTGCTGCAGGACCCACCCCAAAGACCCATACCCAGCACACTACAGTTGCTACAGTGCTTCCTGTGTTGAGGCTGAAGTGGACATCCTCACCGGTCAGTACCAACTCAGACAGATGGATATGCTCTATGACTGTGGACAGAGGTGAGTGGTCACAGCCGTGTATGAACTGGGGTTTCTTTTTCAGATTTAATCTGCTTTGATTCATGTTCAATTTTTAAAATTCCCTCATAACCCATCAGCCGAGAATTTCTCTCATGCTCTTAATTTATCCTTTTCTTCATTGTAAAAAGTAAGACCCAAAGATCGGGAGCATGTGACATGGTGTGGAAAGAGTTTGGAAATTAATTTTTGTGAAGACAACAGGAAAATACTGATTATGTAAACGTATACAAACACAAATGCTAATTCTTTCACTCTCATACTCGTATGCCATGCACAACACACACACCCAAGCACGTCTGCACTTTAATGTTGATATCTGTTGTAGTTTCTGCTCTTTTATTGTTCACAAAAAAAGTCTTTTATCCTGTTTTCTTCAAGGTTTGTTTGCTTTTTATTGTTGATTTAACTTGGGTTGGGGTTGTTGTTTCTTTTGTTTCTAGTGGGCTTTTGAGGATGTGTTTTGGGTTATTTTAAGGGTGGGGAATGGAAAAAACTCAGTTAAAATGTAATCAAAATTGCTCATCCTGTTGTTGACCACTGACCTCCAGCATGAACCCAGAACTGGACATCGGTCAAGCTGAGGGAGGCTTTGTGTTTGGCATGGGTTATTTCCTGCAGGAGCAGATGGTGTACGACCCAAAGACAGGAGAGGCTCTCAACGCTGGCACCTGGGTAAGTCTGTCTGCAAGGAAGAATTCACAAAAAAGTTTGTTTTTCTAATAACAATATTAAGGGCCTTACTAGTCACAAATTAGCTCATCTTGAATATGGAGCATTTACTCTCCCATCTTCGCAGTGCTCTGTGAAAAAAACCTCGTTTCAATATTTCAGTAATACAAGAACGATTTGGTCCACTCTTTGATTTGAAACCTAAAAACTTCCACTTGTCAGTCCAGTTCACCGTCCAGCCGTACCAAAGAGACCAGCAGAATAAACTGGTGTAGTACAAGGCTTGCTTTGGGATAAAGATCATGAAACATTTTAGGTCTTCACAATATTTCTAGAGTTTTTGACTCCTGTGGAGTTTCTGTCTTTTTTGTATCTAGTGTGGGTATGTTGTTTCGATAACATCAACATTTTTTGGGTCATAAATTTCATTTGTTCTATTGAGATCAAGGTTTGAATACTAAGATTAGCTTTTAAGCCTTTGAAATAAAAAAAATTGTCGCTCTATGGTGAGCCAAGTCTATTTCCTTTTACAACAATAGAGGAATCTGTAGTGCTGGGATTATTGAATGAAATTTTTCCTAAAATCTTTTACTGGATATAAGTGTGGTGTAGCAGTTATGCACTTCACCATTGCATGCAGAAGACTTGAGCTCTTTTCCCATGTGGAGTGACTTTTTTTCTGAGAATCTCTGCTTTCTGCCAGGAAATGTATCCTTCTCATCCAAGGCTGGCCCTAACAGGCAGGATCGAAGCCCGCCTCCAAACTGATTAAAATTTTGTCAATGGAGGCATAGAAAACACTTGCATTTTTTAAAAATCTCCAGTTTGAATAAATCTCTTCTCTTGTTTCCTCTTTCAGGACTACAAACCACCGTTGGCCAAGGATTTGCCCATGAACTTCAACTTCAAGTTTCAGAAAAATGCACCAAATCCACTGGGCGTCCTGCGTTCAAAGGGTAAGTTATTGATTTTATCTGATAAATGAAACTGTTTGAGCACTCAATGGACTTCCAAGTCACAAAGACTTTTGGGCTAGCTAAAAGTGATATACAGGGTGATCCCCCCAAAAAAAAACTACGACTTTTTTTCTAAATATCTCGCACGAAATTTGTACTAAAATGATTATGTTATAATTTGGAACATATATAATTCATTCAAAAGGAATTTGTTTTACATAGAATTCACGAAGAATAAACTTATTTTCGAAAACGGAAATGGCTTTTATAAAAGCCACCTAAGAATGCCAAATGCGCCAATTTAAAAAATCTTGTAAGGAAAGTCATGAAATAATTGGATTGGTGTTTTTTTCCCTTTCCTTTTATTTAAAAAATCTAATCTTTCCATCCCTGGAAACAATAGATCTATTTCTTTTCTCTTACAGAGTTTTACATTTTTTTTTTTTATTTAGGAATTCTGTGAACCTATGGTCTATATGTACTCCTTTGGATTTGACACATTTGAACGCGTCATCTGTAATGTTCAGTAGGGGGGGCAAAACGCAAGGATGCTCTCAAGTACGAATACTCAAAGCTGCACTCACTGTACACCTTCAGTATGGAGCTGTTTCTAGAGATAATTTGGGGGGGGGGGGGGGGTGAGGTTGCCCAAGCAGACAGCATTTGTGGAGTTGATAAACCTGAAAGGTAAATATGGGCTTCGAACCAAATGTCACAGGAAAATCATTGCTGCTGGGATCGTCTTCGGACAGACGTCTCGTGGGGCTCATTTACTGAATTCTGTACCTTGATGACGTTTAAAGATGTGCCAACTGTGTGTGTTTAACCTGAAGTGTTCGTTTTGTGTAGGAATTTTTAGTTCTGATTCTCTACAGGTCCTAACTGATGGATCATTTCCACCCTTGACATCTAAGAAGTCCTTAAGGGCACTTTAACATTATTTCAGTACCTTGTGCGAAACTTACTAAATGAGTTGGTTTTGAGGAAATGTTCTATACAAAAAGCTCTCTGCTCTTTACATATCTTAACCGTGATCTCAGCAGGCAAAGGAAACTTGAGAAATACTATCTGCAAACTTCTGTTGGCCTGTTAGACTGCTGTGGTTTGCTATATGGCGCAATCGTTGAGATTTTTAGTGGGAGGCCTAATGCGAACTTTTGCGTCATGCTACAAAAATGGGGACATAGCTGAAAATGGGTTGGGTTTTTTTTACGCGCTTTATAGAGCAAAAATATTCGGTGGATTCATCTAAAATGGATATCAGACTAATTCCTTTTGACTCCCAAATGTTGTGTACAAATTTGAAAGGCAAAACTTCAGTGTGGAGGAAAATATCAACTAAAAAAAGTTGTACAGTTTGTTTTTTTGGATCACCCTGAATGTTTGAATGTGTAATTGCAATTGGTCAGTGTTGTTGGGAATAAGGTTTGTTTTGTTTTGGAAATTGAAAGTATATTTTGAAATAGATGCTTTTGAGTAGACAAAATTGGGTGGAAGGTTTGCAGGTTTCTCTATAAATTTTCATTTGACCCAAACACAGTGGATCATGTGTATATCGTAGCCAACAAACATGTAAACCTTTATTGCATTAAAAATAAAGAAAAGTTAGACAACAATGGCTTTTCCAAAAAAGGTGCAAATTGGCGGGTCTTGTGTGCTTGTTTATTTTAGAATTTAGGTTGTCTTTAGTGAATGAAGCTGCCTGAAATCTTTTCAGATTCAGTAATGTTAAATGAATACATGCTTGCATGCCCTCTAAAGACGTAGACATACCCAGAAAATGGTCCTAACCAGCATTTCAAATCAATTAGCCTGAAATTGTGATTCCCACAAAGTTCTAAAGGATGAAAAATGTTTTCTTTGACATGTGATCAATCGAGGCTTTCTTCAATTGCACAATTCCAAGTAACATTCAAGTTATGTGGTCTGCTGCTATCCTAAATGTATGGTCCTCTTTGTACACAGATACATCATATTATTCTCTCTCCATCTTTCACTTAACATTTTCTCTTGCTTTTCTCCAATCGTGTCGTGTCCATCGTCCTCCAGCTGTGGGAGAGCCTCCCGTCACCATGGCTGCTGCATCACTCTTTGCCATAAAGCATGCTGTGGAGGCCGCCAGAGCCGAGATCAGCAAAGATACTTTCTTTCCATTAAGTAAGTTCATTACTATTGGCTCCTATTCTTTCCATTACGTAAGTTCATTACTGTTGACTTCTATTGATGACTAGGATGCTTTCTTTCTTATCAGTAAGTTTATTATCTTTGCCTGCTTTTGATAGCAGCCAGAATCTGTTGATGACATTTTAAGACTGGCATAAATATAGCATAGATATATTAAGAAAGACGGTTGTATTGATTTAACACCCCTGTCAGCATTAATAAATTGAAACCTTTAGCCGTAGTTAATGTGGAAGCCCTTTTGTTGCTGCTACAAAGTTCGCTCCTTTTTGACAGTTCGAACAAGACCATTTCCAGCCGAGTCGGTGGTACTCAGATTATGATCAATCAAGCTGGGATTTTTTTTGACATTCATTCTTCCAAACTTTATTCCGTTATCCGCTTCCACTTTGTCCGTTGTACGCGGGTATTATTTAAACTGTTTTTATTGGTTCTTTCTTCAAGCTGTATCTCCTTTCACTTCTCCACAGATGCTCCAGCCACGGTGGAAAAAGTCCAGTCTCTGTGTCTCAACCAAACTGACCAGTACACCTACGGCAACTGAGGGCATTGCCAGGAGCGCTCATCTTTGTTGGATTAATATAACATACTTCTTCTATTTAACTTTTGAACTGTTTGGGTTCTTGCATAAATCGCTTAACTTTTTACTTGTGAAGTTGTGGATTTGTTAAACTAATACCATCACCTTATGATATTGAGCTCCCAGTTTATGCTAAAAAAAATCAGCTCTGGATATTAGACGAAATGTATTGTCACTGTGCAGTCATATTTTCTTAAATATTGAACTAGCACCATCACCTCATGATATTGAATTCCCAGTTTATGCTAAAAGTCAGCTCAGGGTATTAGACAAAATGTGTTACCTTGGTAAAGCTATGTTTTTTAATATTTTTAGAATTATATTCTTAGTTTAAATTCTTGTATGTGACTGTGTAACTTATAGCCAGAATAGATGGTGAGAGCATTGTTTCGTTGTACCCCAAAAATTCTGTTGTGATGGTGATCATGCTGCTTGGCTAGATTGTTTTGCAGCCCTTAATCTTTCCTTTTTTTGAATCAGTAATAAGAATTTTTAATCCCTTTTAATCCTCGATTTAAATGTTACATGCTTGTTTGTACAGAATGTAATCTTCGTCTTTAAACAGATTCCTGCTGTGAGTGACACAGGCAACACAAATATAAAATGGCTTCCAATAGAAAGGGAAGGAAAGGAAGTCTTGATTGAGTAGGAAAGATTTAAAACTCATTACCAAAGTTCAAATGTATACACTAGGCTCTAAGAGAAATATATATAATTTCATCTGGCCTCTGTGACCCTGCTGATGCTGCCAGATTTCTATGATGGGATCTTTAGAGTATTAATTTCAAACATTTGCCTAAGAGAATGCAAAAGTTTTATTGAGTATCTATGTAGTGTGTCTCCCACCACAGGATGAATTTGTTAAGTTGGTTTTCTTTTTTTTGTTTTAGTCATTGTCCTGACTTTTTCTTTACATGTTTCTTGCTATATTTTTACAGTTTTGTGAGCTTTAAATCAATCAAGACTCGGGTCTTTGACCTTAGTAACACTCCTCATGATGCTGAAATTTCTATTTACACTCTAAAAGCTTTTTTTGCTTATTATATTTACCATATCTATATGATTTGTATGTGTGAAGCTAATTCTAATGCTGTGATGAAATGTATGTCTCGTAGTTGTGAACACAACTCTAATTATTTTTTACCTATTGTAAATTACTATGAAAGACCTCACCAAAAAAAAATTTTTATTCAATGTTATTTGCACATTTTGATTTTGTCGGAAATGCCTCTTGTTTAAGATTATGTTATCTTGGGACAAAGAACACAACGCTCTAGACTCAAACATCATATGTAGAGATGTTTTAAACCAGCACAATGACCAAAATGTCAGTGTGGAGAAACAGACTAAACTGTGGAACCCATCCTCCAGCAGTGCGAGACCTACGGAGCCCTAAGTCATGCAATATGGCCATTTCCATTAACACAACAGGGAAAGTTGTACAGACCAGTAGAGGCACTAAGCAGGATGGCCCAGTATATGATTGATACGAGTCCTCAAGTGTGATAAAATCAAGAAGAAGGTATTATTTGTTTTCCAAAATGTTCATTGAGAACATTGTTTTCTATATTATTAAAATCATCTCATAGGATCACATTGATCACTTTGTGAACATAGAACAAATGCCTAGATCCAGCTGGGTTTTTTTTTTTACGCTAAATAAACCGATTCTGTGTCAGTGTCACAGAGTACAGCCTTCCCAACTATTCAGGGAAAAAGAGGAGTAGGAATAAGATGAAATGACAAATAGTTAAACTTTTAATTACAGACGGTAACTTCCCTGAATTTCTGAAAATCCCACTCTGACTCATTTTTGACTGACAAATACTATGGGTGTAGTCAGACCAAAGTGAAAACCTGTACTGGTGGAAGTTATACGAAATGGTTTTAAACCCCATCCGTGTGCTACATCTCACAGTAAACTTTTGATCTGGACCTTTCAAAGAAATTTGTTGTTTGAATTAAAAAGATTATCGCTGAATTTGTGATACTAACATCTATTCCTCTGCTTTATCAAGGCAACTCCCAGTATTGAGCGGAAACAAATCCTGAGTGAGTTAATTGTGCATAAAAGCTGTCTGAGCTTGTACACCAGGCATCTCCTTGAAGAGACTTATTGTTGTTGTTAAGGTTTTATGTACTGTTATTGTTTTAATATGTGCCAGATGACAACAGTGCCTATATTTCCATGTTATTTTTGACAAAAGAACTTATACACCAAAGTCTTCATTTGTGCAGTTTCATGTCAATGGCCTGTTCCATCCAGGTCTCTTTTTTATTTGATACAAGCAGTCTTTGTTAACACAAAGATTCGATGAGCTTTTAAAATTTTTAAAATTCGAATTAAATATTGATTTGTGTGCCATTCAAAGATAAGATAATGTTGGTTCAAGTCATTGTTACAAAATATTTACATCTATAAGCTTTTAATGTACTCGCATCATTTCTTCTTTTAGTAACGCACAGAGTGGGGTTTTTTCCACAACAAATGTGAGGATTGCACAAATGTTTGTCTTTTTGAGAAGGGAGGCATCCTTCAATGCAAATGGACATTGATTTGGATAGCTCTGGTGCTTCATTTTTAAAATATTTTCCTTACTTAATAAAAAGTGTACTGAAATGGTTGATGTGAATTTTTCTTCCTTCTTTTTAAACGTTTTAAATATCAAAATACTCCTTCAATTTTGTAAGGCTTTGATTTTTTTACATAAGAAGTATTAAAGAGTCGACTGTAAACTATTCTAAACTGCTAATAAATCTCTTCATTTTTTATACATTTTTTTTACTTGCTTATGTAAAACAGAAAAGACTTTTCAGCATTTTGATACTTTCACTGTTCAGTTTTCTCTATTGGCTGTGAGGGATCATGGTTAAGCGCAATGATGACTAGAGTAGTTAGTCACAAATTTTTCCATTTGTGGCACAACGCGGTGGAATCAGGCTCTCGTCAATTTTTGAGGTACGGAGTTGATGGTATCATCGTAAGGCCTGTCCATTTTCCTTGTTTTGGGTGACAATAATATCCATCTATGTTGAATAGAAGTCGAGATATGTGTGATTGAAGAGGGTGAAGGTCTTCTGGTTTCAGAGGTAAAACTAGCGAGAAAATGGCCGCCAAAATTGAGTTATTTTTTTAGCATTAGAGTCCGTGGAAACTGAACATTTACATTTCTTCGGCCTTTAATCAATGTCTTTCAGTAAAATCTACACAAAAATGTGCTCTTTAATTGGCATGAAAGGTGTTGAACTAAAAAACAAAAGCTCAATAAAAATTCCCAAACCTGCGGGAAAATGCCAATTTCTTGACTTTCATTATTTTGACGAGCACCTGATTTCACCACGCTGCCTCACATTTACCCATCATATGGCCAACCCCAGCAGCATTTTGTATATGTAATTGTGTTGCAAGTGCCATAAAACTCTTACCACAACCAAAAAGGTATTTTGAAGTTTGATCCCATGATTGGCATTATTTCTATGATGCACGTCACTCACAACAGTGGTAGTCCTTATGTGTGATATTCAAGATTTTTATAACTAATGTTTGTAGAGAAGTGTGTAGTGGCTTTGTTGTTGCACGCACACAGAAGACTCGAGTTCAGTTACTTTGCTCAGATAATTTTTATGGAGTAAAAAGTATACATGTAGTTGTTTTTGCATCCGATCAGGACATTGGGGATTGCTTTGTCAGTGAGACAACTTTCATCTCCACTTTCTCCCCCTACTTTATGCCCCTCTTTGCCTTGCTCTTGACTCTTTCTACTGCTACTCCTGGGTCCTTCTTACTGCTGTATTTCAGCCACGCCCCTGATCTTAGAGTAAAGGTCGAACACTTAGCCTTCTTGGATAAGGGCGAAAAATATTGGAGGCGCGAGTTGCGCTCATTAAAGGTCCCTCTGTGGTCCCAAAATCGATAACAGTAGGCTTTGGCCTCGACCAGGGCAAAATTCAAAATTTATAGTTCAAACCAAAACTGAAACTATTCTAGTCGGTATAAAGATATAAAGTACATTCGAAATTGGAATGTGGCTGTCTGAAGGCAAGGTCAATGGGACATACTAAGTAGCAAAATAAGTCGCATACGTAAAAATCAGTTGGGCCGCAGGTTGGCTATCCCTGAGATATGGCAGGTAACAAAAAAGATTCCGAGATTTTAGATCTTACTGTCTCTGTTTATTTAGTTGAAGCAGCAAGCCACGACATTTCTCATTTAAAGCATACCTGGATGTCTGGAGGTATCATCTCTGACTCAGAGGTTGACGTGTAATAACCCTCCATCCTTCACGGTCCCGAGCTGCTGTTGCACATTCTGCCGTGTCCAGGCCTGTCCATCTTCTTATGTTATCCATCCATGTTATTCTTTGCCTGTCTTTGGCTCTCCTACCCCACATTATTCCTTCAAGTACCTCTTTCACAATGGTCGGTGACGTTTTAAATGGCCATAGTATTGTAGGCTACTTGTCTACTTTCTTATCAACATTTATTTCATTCAGTAGGGTTTGTCTTACGTGCAGAATCTGGCAAACTTCGTTGTATGTCGTTTTTGTATTCCAACTTATTCTGGCCGGTAGCATCACATCTCAAACGTATTTATTTTGTTTTCTTCTTTCCTTGTCAAAGTCAAGGCCCAGGTCTCTCCGCCATATCGGAATATGGGGAAGTCGTAGCATTCCAGCATTTTCTTTAGATAGTTGCCTGGATTTAAATAGTGTGTACATTTGGCTGAATCTTGTTTTTGCAGTTGCTGTTCCTATGTTTATTTCTTTTTCACTTTTTCCACCATAAGTGATTGTTGCCCCTAGATACTCGAATTAGTGGGCTTGTTCGATTCTCTCCCCATCTATGGTTATATGTGTTGTTTTTCCAGAAGATTTTGATAAGACCATTGTTTTTGTTTTCATGTCAAGGCCTGCCTTGCTGCTGTTCACTTTTACTACTTTCACAATTTTAGAATGATGTTTGTTCACGTTTGCAAGCAGAACCGTATCATTTGCGTATCTCAGGTTATTGATGTTGTGGCCCCCAATAGTGAGTCCCTGCAGGTTTTGAGATTCTCTGAAAATAAGCTCTGTATAGATGTTAAAAAGATACGGAGAGAGGACACAGCCTTGTCTCACTCCTCTATGGATTTTAGCTTTCTGATATTTCATTACACACTTAAATTGCTGCATTCTGCTGTCAGTTAAGATTTCCTGTTGTATTCTTATATCTTTGTCATCAATACCTAGCTTCTCCAAACTTTCAATCCGCCTGATGTGATGGATTCTGTCAAAAGCTTTTGAGTTGTCAATAAAGCTGGCAAAGAGGTCTTTTGTTTAAAGCATAGAGTGTATGTAATGCAGAAAAGAATCAATCTCTTTCAGAGTGAACAGCGACATCTTTGGAAGGGGTAACATGATAGGTCTTACTGAATTAAAGTCTACAACCGATTACTTTTTGCCCATTTTATGACCAATTGAAAGGCAGTTCGTACGACGGCTATATTTTAAATTTTGGATTGTTTTCTGTAATATTTTCATAATATGGATTTTACCTGAGCTAGATGATCCTGCCAGGTAAAGGAGCGATTTCTAACGTAACCCTTTCTCCGCTACTGCGACGTAGGGTTCGGTATGCTTTGAACTACCGTATTTTGGGCAACTCTTATCATACATGTATTTATAATGTAAGATGACACAGAATTTATTTAACTTTGAACTTGAATGCTGTTAAGTTGGGAGTGCAAGGCTTCATTGCTTGCCCCGAGTCGATCTCTCTGGTTTTACTAAACAAATTAGCGAACTCCTGTGTTACACCCCGTCATATTCCCTCTCCCCCAACCCTTCTACCTCTCTCTCTCAACCCGTCTAAGTGTTTTACGGCGCTCGCAACTGCATAAGGTCATATGAGCGCGCGAGACACATTAAACATTTTCAGTTAGTAGGAAATTTTGAATTTTGCCCGGGTGGTCGAAGCCTACTCTTATCGATTTTTAGACTACCAAGGGATTTTGTCCTTGCGCACATTGCACACGGGACCTCCGAGATTTTTCGCCCTTGCCCGAGAAGGCTTGGTGTAGATCTTTCCTACCAGAAGATCGGGGCTGTGGCTGAAAGACAGCAGTAAGAAGGAGCCAAGGAGTAGCAGTAGAAAGGCTGCAGAGTCAGGAGCCTAGAGGACGAGGCAAAGGAGGTGAGGGGTGGGAGCAGAAAGTGGAGACGAAAGCAGACGACAGAACATTGCTAGTGAACAGGAATAGAAAGGAGGTGAAATGATACAATTTTAGAGAAGAAGAATTTTCAGTCGCTACCCGGATTCGAACCCGAGACCTTTGAATGAGAGGCGAACTCCTTAGCCTCTAGGTCACGAGAGCCCCCTTACACAATGTGTGAGATTATCTATGATGTAAAAAGACAACACGAGAACTATATATTTTTAATGGTTTTATTTTTATTGTTCGTTCAATGATTATGAGTAGAATGCGTGCATGATGGGAATCTATTAATGACCGTAGCCGTAGGACTTGTATCCATAGCCATGGCCATACCCGTAGCTGGGTTTAGAGTAATATCCGTAAGACTTTCCGTAACCATAGTCTTTCTTAGAGTAACCGTAAGATTTGCCATAACCGTAGGATTTTCCATAACCGTAACTGGGCTTGGAGTAACCGTAGGACTTTCCGTAACCGTGTCCATAACTGGGCTTAGAGTAACCGTAGGATTTTCCATAACCATGTCCGTAGCCGTATCCGTGTCCGTAACCATAGCCATGGCCATAGCTTTTTCCGTGGTAGCCATAAGAGTTGCCGTATCCGACGCTTCTCCTGTGCCTCTTGGAGCCGTAGCCTGCGTTGTTGTAGCCTTCGTAGCCATTGCCCTCGTGCCCGTAGCCATAACCCTCTGGCTGGTAGCCGTAGGATTCCTTTTCGTAGCCATAGCTCTTAGGCTGATAGGCATAGGTGTCTTTTCCGTATCCATAGCTCTGTTTCTGGTAGGCAGTGTAGTCTTGTTTCTTGTAACCATAGCTCTCTGATTTGTGGTAGGCGTGGGCATCTTTCTCATAACCGTAGTGCTTTGGCTCGTAGGACTCCTTCTCATAGCCATAGCTCTGTGGCTGGTAGGACTCCTTCTCATAGCCATAGCTCTGAGGCTGGTAGGACTCCTTCTCATAGCCATAGCTCTGAGGCTGGTAGGATTCTTTCTCATAGCCGTAGCTCTGAGGCTGGTAGGATTCTTTCTCATAGCCGTAGCTCTGAGGCTGGTAGGATTCTTTCTCATAGCCGTAGCTGTTTGGTTCGTGGGCATACTCGTCCTTGCCATATCCGTAGCTCTCTGGTTGGTAGGCATAGGCGTCTTTACCGTATCCATAGCTTTCAGGCTGGGAGTGGTAGGCCTTGGAGGTCTCGTGGCTGTAGGCGTGGCCCTGTCCATAGCTCTGGCCCTTGTAGTAGGTGGTCTGGCCGTACTTGTATTCCGCTTTAGGTTCGTATCCATGGCCGTATCCTTGGTTGTTGTCATAGCTGTTACCATAGTAACCGGCGTTGTCATAACGATCGCCATAGCCGTTGTTATGGTAACCGTCACCATGCTCTACTTTCTCGTAGCCGTTGCCATAGTAAGGGCTCTCCTTGGCGTATCCATGGGTGTTGTATTCGCCGGAGTAGTGGCCTTGGTGCTCGTAACCTTGAGTCTTGTAGGAGGCGTGGCCGGCCTTGCTCTCATGGTAGGCGTCGGCTCTGTCGAGAGGTACGTTTCATTTGATTGGCAGTAGGTGTGTTTGTGTGTGTGTGTGGGTGTTGTTGTTGTTTCTGTGGGTG